TGACCATATCTCTTGCCAATTCCTCCAAGCTTGGAGGGCAATGATTTGTTTTATCATCGACCCCATCATAGTCCGGAAACACTATCTTACAAAATAATTCCCAACTTTCTTCCTGTTGTAGAAATGAAAGCTCATCTAGATGTACTTAAAAATAAAATATTTGCAAAAAAAATATTTTAAAAAAATCAATAAATATACAAGAAGGCCTTCGCCATTTTTGTCAGTTCAATCAAACACTACTGGGGAAGTGTCTATGGAGATATATGTAGAGGAGTCTTTGTTGCTTATCATAAAATAAATAAATAAAATATAATAATAATATTAAGTTAAGGAGGAGCACCAATTATGGGAAAAGCCAGAAGGGTGATTGATTGCAAGTTTGGAGTGGACCAAGGAGGATGGACATCTAAGGTACATTGAGAGCCATATGAGGTGGGTGTGGAGGCCTTGTTGACTTTTTTGAGCTTTCTGAGCTCCTTTATGAGATCTGATGTTCCATCAAACATAGTGGATAGATAGGAAGAGGCGGAAGCATGGAAATTGGATTTTCTTGTTCAAATCCTATGATTCCTTGATTATTGGTGGGACGAGGAACTGTTTCCCATTGAAGATCTTTTGGAAGTCGAGAATTATAACAAAAGTAACATTTTATTATTATTTTTTAGAAATCCAGTTTGGACTCCATTCTTACTATTGATAATTTGGTGAAAAGAGGTTTCATACATAACCTAATAGGTGTTAATGTGTGATTAAAAAATATATAAATAATCACACTTTAATTAGAATGTGTGATTAAAAAATATATATCTAATCACACTTATTTAAAAAGTGTGATTAAAAAGTAGTAGTGTATATATAATCACACTTTAATTAAATTGTGTGATTAAAAAAATATATATATAATCACACTTAATTGAAAAGTGACATAAAAAATGAATATTATCACACTCAATCAAATTAAGTGTGATTAAAATATCAATCTAATTTTTTTATCACACTTCCAATAAAAGTGAGATATTTTTTTTGTTAAAGTGTGATCTTTAACTATTTTTGTAGTAGTGTATTAATGTGACACTCCAACGATGTGACACTCCAAAAAACTAATACTTTTTCCAAATGTAACAATGTGGCGAGTATGATGTAACACTCCAAGACTTTTATTCCAAAAAAAAACTCTGTAGTATATTTTTTTTTCAAATGTGACAACGTGGCGGGTATGTTACAAAAACTCTTTAGTATACTTTTCTTAAATGTGACAATGTGACAGATATGGTGTGACACTCTAAAAAAAAAAACTCATTAGTGTATTTTTTCAAATGTGACAACGTGGCGGGTATTATGTGACACTCCAAAAAAATAAAAATTCTTTAGTATACTTTTTCCAAATGTGACATGTGACACTCCAACGTGACGAGTTTGATGTGACATCTAAAAAAATTAAAAACTTTTTAATGTACTTTTTTCAAATGTGACACTCTAACGTGTCGGATATGATATAACACTAAACAACTCTTTAATGTACTTTTCCTAAATATAACACTTTAATGTAGCAAACAAATTAATCATTACACATCCAAAAGGACTAAATGGATTACAAGAAAAAATATGAAAATATATAGATTACAAGTCTAAAATATGAGATTTATTGGTCAATCTCCCTAGACTATAAACTTATTTATACTTCCTTTTATTCCAATTTATTTATACATGCCATTTATTATAAATTCAGAATTTAAAATTTATAAATATATATATATATATAATTATATGTCATATTTTATACAATAACAGAATATTGATAAAGGATTAATTATGTATAATTTGCTGCTTTTTCATTAAAAATCATGAGGTGATTTGTTATTATTATCGAGGTGATTTGTTATTACTATTTTGGCACGTAATATCTCACATGCTCAATATTCATGTCAGGTAGGCTGCCAAAGCCTTAAAACAATGATCTGGTGGAATTTGAGAAAACCCACAGGAGTCTAGAGTTTTATTTAATATTTTTGTATAAAAATAAAATAAAAAAGGGCAAAAAAGAAATCCTCTATTTTTTAGTAGTTTACATGAGTAAACCATCCATCCATGTCTATCTTGTTCCTCTAGTTAGGAGTAGCAAGTAATACTATGTTATAACAGAAATGTAAAGAATTCAACCACATTGTAACTTCAAAAATATGAATTGAACCTAATATATATGCATATTTACATCTATATATTTGTTGTAAAAAGTAACAAGTTAAGAACATGTGTCATAGCTTGCATAGCAGCACTAATTTGTACATGGCCAGGAGCAAATCCTATATTCACAAGTTAAAAAAAAAAACCATAGTGAGAATAGAACATTGGTGGCAACAAAAGAGATAGAAACACCTCCTTTGATAATTCACTAGTGTAACTTCTTTGCCAAAGAAAAACAAAGGTCAATCTAGAGGATCCATTCTACACCTCCCACTCTCCTCTCTGCTTGTTGTAGAAAAAGAAGCCCTGTAAATGCAACACTGTCATACCAAACACAATGAGATATGTAGACATCTATACTATATTGTAAAAGAAACAGCCCAAAAGTAAAGCTGAGCAATGTTTTTTTTTTCCTTTTCCAAGATTGTCCATAAAGTGATTTTTATATGGCATTTAAATTTATTCTTCCATATTTTTTAAAGGGTAATGGTGTGAAATTGCTCACAATTTTCAAATTCAAAGGTGATTTCTAAAAATTTCATCTCTTTTTTTAGAGTAGCACACATTATTACTTGCACACCTATTTGCGTGTGTCAAGAGGCTAGTGACTTATAATTTAAGAATAAATTAATTTTTTCAGCCCTTTAATTTGACTAAAATTTTACTTTTGATTTTTAGTATTTTAATTTAAAATTTCATACTTGTACTTAAACTCCAGTTTCAATTTTGTTCCTCCATGTAAATTCCTGTTAATTTTGTGCATGTATACGTCTCAAGAGGCTGACGAATGTCAAAAAATCGTTAATTTTAATATCTAATTTGAACGAAATGACCAGATTACAATTATACTTAAAAGTATAGTGATTAAATTATTCAATTTGAAACAATAGTCGGTCAAACTGGAAGAGTTAAAAGTGTCAAATATACTTTGTATTGCAAAAATGACAAGAAAACAACTTGAAATAGAAGAATGGAAAAGAAGAAGATCATACCATTGACATTACTACTTTGATTCAAGACAGCTCACTTGCTCCCCCAAGTCCTTCACATTAGAAGCCCAATCTGGTGGCTTGGCTATCAAATTCTCCAATTGAAGAACAATCTTGGATTGGTGTTGAACCAACTCTGCTTCAACTTGAGCTGATCCATTCTCACAAATCAATCCATCCTCCAATAGTTTCTCCCACAAGATATAATTATCAGAGCTCAAATCCGGACTCAGCGGTCCAGGAGCCGCATTAATCTTTTGGTCCTGACTCGGACTACTTTCATCGTCCAACAAAGCGGAGAATAGTCTTTCCACTTCCGAATGTTTTGTTGTCAACTCCTCCTGATTCTTATTTGTTACTTGGTCCTCATTGCTTTGTGAGGCGGCTGCCAATCTCTGTTTCTTCGCAATTTGATCATTGCATAGTTCTTTTTTCGGCCTCATAAGATGGATGAATTGATGGAAAAAGGCCGGGTTCGAGAATGCTTTGGCCATGAATATCAGTACATCTTGTTGCTTACACTCGGTGTATCCTATTCGCTCCTTAACGGCAGCAAAGTAACTCTCTGTGTTCTCTTGTTGTTGTTTCAGTTTCATGATTTCCATTTTCATTTTCATCCTGTCATTCCTTAGTTTTTCAAGCTCAGTCTCGATTCCGAAATTGGCTGAATTGAGACAGGATCTCATGACTCCTGGTTGCTGCACATTTTGGGGGTTATGTTTTCTCCTCTCTATGTTTTTCAACAAATGTTTTTTCCCTCCTTGAAACGCTTCATTGGCAAATTCCCATCTGTCTGAATCAATCTTCTTAAAACCCTTTATACCAAAAATTTTTTTTTTAAAAAAATACACATAATTAGCAAATAGCAGGAAATTCCACAAACAATAAATTGCACGTATAAGTGAATTGGTACTTTAGTCCTGTAATTTTGTAATTTCAATTTCAATTTGCACTGTCAATTTTAATATTTTATTAAAGTATGATCCTCCGTCACTTACCGTTATAATTCCCTCCGTCACTTTTACCATTAAAATAGAAAAAGACCATGCGATAAAATTAGAACACCAAACTGAAATTTAAAATAAACTATATAGTTTTGAACAATTTTTTTTTCAAAATGTTACCAACACTGGGACTACGTTGCAAAAGTGTAAGGAAAACAAATTTCTTTGAGGAACACTGGTGTAATTTACCCTTCAATAAATACACAAATTCAATAAATAAAATTTGAATAAAAAAACAAAAAGGTTCAATTAGCCATGAACCAAACAGAGACTTTCCCCCTTTAGAAATAGCTATAGCAACAAAACCCACAAAGAATAAACCACAAATTTAGAAGATAAACACTCAAATTTCTTAAGTAGATCATAAATTTAATAGCAGAGAAGAGAAGTAGTTTTTTTTTTTTTTGAACGAGAAGAGATTGGATTGGAAGAATATAGAGTACTTACATAAGTGTTAAGTTGGCGAATAAAGCTTGAGAAATTGTTGTGCTTGAAGTATTTGGGCAAGAGATTGGTAGAGAACTGTTGATGATCCCAGACTACAAAGCTTTTTTGAGAAGCAGTCCATGAAATGATGATGTCAGTATCAGGATCTTCCACCATGTGAAAGGTCTTCTTCAGAAATGGAGATGGTCCTGTTTCATGCAATCCCTCCATGGGTTTTGGGGCTGATGAGTTTGGTGGTGAACATGGCATGGAATCACCACCACCACCACCTCCTCCTCCTCCTACTAGCACTACTCCTTCACCACTTACACAATCATCATCAACCAATACCACTGCTTCTTCTTTGACTTCCACTACTTTCACTGTCTTCTCCTCCTCCTCCTCAATTAAACCTCCACCACCACCACCAGGTATGTCATCATCAATCGCTACAATGTTCTCCTGCTTGATTTTTAGTGTTTCCATGAGAGACACAGAGAGTTTTGGATTAGTTTCCAAAGGAGTTGATTGTTTCTAATGCAGTGACTCTGAGAAACGAAAGGGGGAGTTTTAATACATGGAGAGAGAGAGAGAGTGAGGGTGTGTTGTCTGAACTGAGAATGGCCAAATGTTAAAAATGTGTTGCCATTTGTAGCTCCAACTTACATACAAATCCAGGCCCCTTTACTTCTGGAAACTGCTCTTTGACCCCCACACCCTTACTTTTTCTAAAACCCAAAAACAAAAATATTTGCTAGAAACCCCCCAACCTGGGCCCTTTCGTGCAGAAATTATTCCGTAAGTCCGGTACACCACTTCTTCAACCAATGAAATTTTAAAATAGTAGTTCTTTTTTGAATTAATCACACATCTCTATTGTGACATTTTTTCTTCTATGTATCATTCCAATTAATCGGACACGTTGCCGATGTAATGGCCCTGTTTTGTGTAAATTATTCATAATTAAAAAGTAAAAATTAAAAATACTTCTTCTCTAATTTTTAAATAATTAACTTATTTAAATTATTTTTACTTAATAAGCTATAAGCAGGCATTCTAAATAAATAATAAATAAATAAAAACTAGAATCATAACCTACATCAAATAACCTGACATAAATTCTAAAATCAAAATAAGTTATAATTATCTCTATTATTTTATCTGTATCAAAATATTAGCTTCTTTTGTGAAATTCAATTGTTTTAGGCAATGCAATTATCACACTTGAAAAATATATTAACTTTCTAAAACTATCTTTTGACTTTTTTTAGAAAAATTAATTGTCATAATTATACTTTTTATGCATAAATTTAAAAGAATGACAAAATAAGAAATTTTATTTATTTTACACCTTAATTTTTAAAAGAAACTAATATTTGAGACAATAAAAAAATTAAATAAGAGATTAGTTTTTGAAACAGAAGAAGTGATAAATTGTAACTACCCCCAATATGCCAAATCCATTGAATAACTTTTCCTTTTTGTGAGATAAGTTTCTTTTCTGGATCCACACCGTTTATTCTACCTCCCACATGCTCTTATTAGTGAAAATTTGGAGTCTGGAAAGGCATCCTTCAACCACGTCCTAGTGCCACGAATGCAACACACTTTGTCCTTTTTCGAATACACTAGTAACGTATGTGTATATATATAGAAAAATGATTACGAGTTCTAATAAAAGAGTTTTAATGGAGAGTCAGATTCTACTGTTACGTAATGTTTTGATTTTATTTTTTTATTTTTTTTATTCATTGTCACATCATTAAAGCCCAATTAGAATTTTAAAATTAGACAGATATATCATTATTCATATATATATATAGTAGTTTAAAAAGACCTGGGCAAGGTATAGGTAATTATTATAATATGTTTAAGTTTATATTTAGATAATTTTTTAAAAATTAGAATATTATTTTATAAAAATATATAGGATAAATCGTTAAATATATGATAAAATTATGTAGTATATCATTTTTTGATTTTGTTATATATTTAACGATATAGACTCTAATTCTGTTACCATATCATTTTAGGTGAATTTATGAGTCTTTAATAGTTCTTTCAAATTTATAAAAAAGAAATTATGGTGCGTACCTTTTCTCAACAGATAAATATAAAACAAATATTAAGATAATTCTCTCATCTAAAAAAAATTATTACGATAATTCACTGAGCTAATAAAGAAATAAAAGAAAATACATACAAATGACTAATTTTATTAATACATAAATCATACTCGCATAACAAATGATCAATTTTATTAATAAGTAAACCATTAAATAATTAACAATTTATAATGATATGAAAAATATTTTTCAGTTAACCATTTTGTTATATAAATAAATTATTAAGTCAATTAATAGTTTTTAATGATATGAGAAATATTTTTCAAAAAATAATTTTGATAATTTATTATTGCATGGAAGAATAGTTTTTTTTTTCCCTGAGTATTGTATTAAATTAAAATTTATAACAAACGATAGTTGTAATTTCTAATATTATAGAACCGATTCATATTTTCAACAAACTTTGTGGGTGTATTTGTAATTTGTTAAAAAAAATTATCTTTCATAATTGACCAAGAATATTTTTGTAATTACGAAAAAACCTGTTTCATAATTAACCAAAAATGTTTGGGTAATTACGGAAAAACCTATTGCATAATTGACCAAAAATGTTTGCGTAATTATGAGAAAAAAAAAATTCACTCAACATATAAACCACCATTAGTAAATTATTCAAAATAAAATGGCGAAATCAAAAAGAAAAGACAAACCTCAGCACCTAGTTTGAAAAGGCCTGTGCAAGACACGAGCTATTATTACAGTATATTTAAACTTTATATTTTGATTATTTTTTTTTAAATTGGAATATTGTTTTATGAAATTGAATAGAATAAATCATTAAATATATGATACAATTATGTGATATGATATGTATTGTTTTTTTATTTATTATACACCTAATGATATATTCCTTTGGAATTTGTAAAATAAAAAATTATGATGTTTAGTTTTTGTCAACAGATAAATATAAAAGAAATACTAAGATAATTCTCTCATATAAAAAAAACTACTATGATAATTCACTAAACTAACAATGAATCAGAAGAATATATATATACAAATGACTAATTTTATTAATACATAAATTATACTGGCATAAAAATGACCAATTTTATTAATAAGTAAATTATTAAGTAAATTAACAATTTTTAATGATATGAAAAGTATTTTCCAATTAACCATTTTGTTAATAAATAAATAATTAACTCAAAACGGTTTTTTTTTTATATGAGAAATATTTTTCAATAAATAATTTTGATAATTTATTATTGCATAAGAGAATAATTTTTTTTCTCTTAAGTATTGTGTTAATTTAAAATTTATAACAAACGATAGTTGTAATTTCTATTATTATAGGAACGATTCACATTTTAAACGAATCTTAAGGGTGTATTTGTAATTTGTTAAAAAATAAAATATTTATGTTTCATAAGTGACTATGAATGTTTGCATAATTACGAAAAAGCTTGTTGCATAATTGCCAAAAATATTTGCATAATTACGAAAAAAAATTCACTCAACATATAGATCATTATTAGTAAATTATTTAAAATGAAAGGGTAAAATTGGAAAGAAAATACGAACCTCAAGCAGCCTTTATAACAAACGGTGGTTGAAATTTCTAGTATTATATGACCGATTCATATTTTAAACAAACCTTATGAGTGTATTTGTAATTTGTTAAAAAATAAAAAAAATTATGTTTCATAATTAAACTTTGCGTAAGAATGTTTATGCTTCATAATAAACGATTTATGTTTCATAATTATGAAAAAACATATTTCATAATTGACCAAGAATATTTGCGTAGTTATAAAAAAATCTGTATCATAATTGACCAATAATGTTTGCATCATTACAAAAAAATCTTCACTCAATATATAGCCCACCATTAATAATTATTCAAAATGAAAGAGGAAAATAAAAAAATAAGAAAATGAACTTCAAGTAGCTAAGCGGTTATATATATATATATATATACTAGTTGAAAAAGGCATGTGAAAGGCACGGACTATTATTACAATATGTTTAAGTTTTGTATTTTGATAATTTTTTAAAAATTAAAATATTATTATATGAAATTGAATAGAATAAGTCATTAGATATATGACAGAATTATGTCGTACGATAAGTATCATTTTTTGATTTGTTATACACCCAATAATGTAGACTCCAATTCTATTACCATATCATTTAGGATGAATTTATGAGTCTTTAACATTTCTCTCGGAATATATTTTTAAAAAATTACGATATGTAGCTTTTCTCATAAGATAAATATAAAACAAATACGAAGATAATTCTCTCATCTAAAAAAAATTACTAAGATAATTCACTGAACTAATAAAGAAACAGAGTAAAATACATATATATATACACAAATGATTAATTTTATTAATATATAAATCATACATGCATAGCAAATAATCAATTTTATTATTAAGTAAATCATTAAGTCGCCGTTTGGCATTAGCTTTTTTAGTTGACTTTTTTAAGTTGAAACTTTTTTAGCTTGAGATTAAAAAGTTCGTTTGGTTTGACTTTTTTAACTTTTGTGAGAGAAAAAATGAAATAATTATAGTTTGGATGTAATATTTTGTCTTATTAGCTTATTTAGCATATTTTGTCTTTTACGTTTTTTTAACCCAACTAAGTTAGCCAAATAAAGGCTAAGTAAATTAACAATTTTTAATGAGATGAAAAATATTTTTCAGTTAACCATTTTGTTAATAAGTAAATCATTAAATCAATTAACAATTTTTAATGATATAAGAAATATTTTTCAATAAACAATTTTGATAATTTATTATTGCATAGGAGAATAAATTTTTTTTTCTATGAGTATTTTGTTAAATTAAAATTTATAACAAACGATAGTTGTAATTTCTAGTATTATAGGACCGATTCATATTTTAAACAAATCTTATGGATATATGTAACGCCCTGAAATAAGGCCTCATTTGGCGAGTGACTATTTTAGCCAAAAAGTCAAAAAGTTACTAAAAGTGGTCACATCACCTCTTTACTTTTCTGCACATCTTTTCATAAAAAGTCAAAAAGTTACTAAAATAGTATGTTCCCAAACGAGGCCTAAATGCAATAAACCATTCATTACAGTAAGTAAATAACAATGCAAATCAGAGTATAATGTCCTTTCATTGCATAAGACTCAATTGTACAAAATGGTGACATATGCGAGTATACATTCATAAATCCTAACCCTGAATCTACAACATGAGTCAATAATGAATATGTGAAATAGAAATTAAACAAATAATTGAAATGTCCTGAAGGCTACAACTTTCCAAAACTATACTTGGTTACATCTAAATGAATTTAAATCGAATATATATAAAGCTCTAGGCTTGTACAAAATAATAACATGTAAACAAAATCAAGCCTTTGCTCTAATTCTCCAAACCTACTACCTTGGCGAAGGTGTAACGCCCCTAAATAGCTGTCACAAATCCATCCAAGACCATATGTAAATAACAATATGAATCAGAGTATAATGTTCTTTCATTTTATGAGAGTTAATAGTAC